ATCATTCCCTGGGGATCTTTCTACTCCCCTCCCCTGCTGTTCCACTGCACCCCCCCCTCCCCCAGTGCCTTGCCTGAGGGAAAACTTTTTAGAGTAGGTAGAAGATAACAAGTTTTGAATCATGAGTAGCAGCCTTTAGATCAGCCTAGGGAAATAGGGGGGAAGACATTCCAAAAAGGAGCAGCAAAGTACAGAGAGCAAAGAATCTGAGAAATGACTACATTGCATTGCATTAGTGGGTGATTCAAATGAGTGGTGTATGCAATAGAAATAAATATACAGGCTTTGAAAAGCTAGCCTGACTAAGGAGTTTAAACTTGTAATGAGAGGAAGTGAATTATGGTTGGCATGTTGAAAAATAGGTTTTATAGAGGCAAATTTGGCAGAAGTGGGCAGGGTAAATAGAAATAAGGATAGATTAGGATACCTAATTAAGAGGCTGCTATAGTTACTCTAGTGTGACATGGTGAAAGCTGGCATTAATACGGTAACATTAAAATTTGAGAGAAAAAGGATTTCCTGATCATTAGTGCTCATGGTATGGTTTTGATCATCCCCTATTCATAATAACCCCAATGTGACAGAGTAGAACTTCCTTGTAGGTTTTATTGGCTGTAATCTTTATGGAAGCAAATGGTCAGGTCTGTTTTCTGCAGAGCTGTTGATTGGGTTAGAATAGCCAACCTTTTGAGTTCACAATCAAACTCTTAACAGTTATACTACCAGAGCTCTCTTTAAGCTTAGAGAGATTGCCATTTAAACAAAGAAAGAAAGAAAGAAAGAAAACAAAGATCAGTACCACCAACGAAACACTTTTCAACAATCTTAACACCACAACCAGATGGACGACCTAAGTTGTGAATTCTTCATCCTAGATGGCCAAATGATAGGGATTGATGAATGTGGACCTCGATGGTACAAACGACCTTTTTATTTCTGTGATAACGTCTTTGCTGTTTTAAGAGAGCATATGTATGGCATTATGAATGTGTGTCTGTTTACAAATTAACATTTGTAAGATTTTTCCTGCTAAGTGCTATCTGACAAATCTGCCCCCCACCAATCTATATAAGATTATAGCCTGAAGATATACTTTCGAAGGCAACAATAGAAAGTGAAATAAATTTCTTTCCTGAACTGGGACTCAGACTTTAGAGAACGCAGAATACTCAATAACCAGTCCTTGTTTTAGATACTATATCTTTCTGAGCTTTATCATTCTGTTAAAAATAATTGAGTTCAAGGAAATAATGACCCATGTAACAATTATTTTGAGGTAGTTGGGTCTGTGTTATAGGTGCTAGGTATTCTCAGTTTCATTCTGGGTCCATCAAATCTGCAACTCTTGTAACAACTACTTAGAAGATAATTGGCACTTTGTTCTCCCAGTAAGCATTGCTGGTCTTTGGATGCATAGCCAATGGATGTTATTGCTAAAGAACATCTAGAAATTAGGAAGACATTGAGGCATATTTACTCAGTTAAAGCAAGTAATGTCATTGAGAGAAGTGGATCTTTTACTATACAGCATGGGTATTTTGTATGTGTGTGTTGAACCAGAAAGATAATATGCCTAATATAAAGAAGGCATGTATAATACATGTCCAGTATCGTATCTTAATATTTTTCCAAGAAAAGTTGGGAAATCTGGATTTGAGGGTATTTTTAAGTGTTGGATATTTACACAATATTTAGCACAATCAACCTACTTCTTCCCAGTGTGTATATTTGATGTAAACAATATCCAATTAATAAAAGATTGAGGTTAACATTTATAAGGAATCTTCACTGCCAATCCCTTTCTATTTGTGTAACTACATATGTGCAAACATCTCAGTCTGGTGGAGCTGTTGTGTAAAGCGTTGGACTACTAACTGCAAGTCATCTGTTCAAACACACCTGCCACTACAAGAAAGAAAGAAGAGGCTCTGCTCCTGTAAAGACATGCAGTTTCAGAAACCCTGTATAGGTCACTATGAGTCCGAATCAACTTGATGGTAGTGGGTTGGGTTATTTTCATGGCTAATGGAATAGTTTGGGGTTTGTTCATAATTTGCTGAATACTGCAAGTAGCCTGCGCCTTTTTGAAGATTATGCTTGCTAAAAAACTACAAAATTGGTGTTCACTGTAGCAGTGATAAAAATGAACATTTGAAATGGGTATGAATAACATTTTTCTCAAAAAATTTAAAATACAGGAATATATAGTTATTTTTTCTACCTATCCAATTACTTCAACAAAATACGTTGAGTAGTTGACACGTTTCTTTGAGCTAACTTTTGGGACTTTGAAATCTATATAGGCAGTCCCAAGGTTATAAATTAATTCTGTTCCTAAGTCTGCCAATAAGTTGAATTTGTAGGCAAATTGGAAAAGTTAGGTACAATATGTATCTGATGTCAGCAGTCAAATACATCATAGTATATAGTAATGATATAAACCTTCTTTGCATAAAAAAATGGAAACAATTTGAGCTACACTAAAACATCTTTAACATAATATAGTGATAATAATTTGATGCTCTTTGCAAAGTAGTGCCTTTTGTTATTACAAACCACTGAATATGCCTTAATTTTTAATATAGGCTACATGATTATAGGTTCATAATTAAGCTGGATGTTCATAACCTATGGATATATCTACTGGTTTCTCCCTTCCTCCAAATCAGATCTGTCTTTCAGGAGTTATATCTGAGTACTGATGGTAATTTTAAGGAAAATTTGCTTGTAGCATGTGAGAAACCATTTTGTTAATTGTGAAGCTTTATTTGTAAATGGTGTTACTTGTTCTTAAAATCTTTACTTAGAAAACAAACTAGATTTGATCAGCTAGAGTGTCATAATATTTTTTTTACTAACTATTGTTTGCCTGGATAGTATTAGAATGTTATTAGCTGAAGAGTTAGAGTTTGTATTTTATTAGAATTGATATTATTAGTTTGAACTCTAAAGGTATTGAAACCTTGTGTTTTAAAGATCCCATTTCTCACATGGCGTTTGTTTATAAAATTTTCGGTGTTCTCTGAAATGTTGATTTAATGTTCACAATAGCTTATTTTTCTGTTCCATTAGTATTTTTCCAAGTTTAAATGTATGAAGGGCTTCAATAAGTTTGTGGGGAAAGTCCATTATTTTTTAATTCCATTTGCCCATGGAATTTTTAAAGCTTCCCTTATATTTGATTTTAAAAAGAACATATATATGATTTAAGTATTTTTCAATGCTAAAATAGTTAAAGTGAGCTCACTGAGTTATGGTATTGTGCATTTATTTGTTTAACAGCCTAATTCATTAATCAACATGAAGAATATTCTAATTTCAGTATTTTTCTCTTTCAATAGGATTGGATTCAGCATCAAAATACATCAACTCATATTGAGAGCTGCCGACAATTACATCAACAGTAAGAATAAGCCTCCCTCCCCCACTTCTTTTTTAATAGATGGCACATTTACAAGATAATGTTTAGATGTTTATAGTTTCTAACTTATAGCAACCCTATGCACAGCAGAATGAACACTGCCTAGTCCTGCGCCATCCTCACAGTTGTTCTTAAGTTTGAGCCCATTGGTGTAGCTACTGTGTCAATCAGTCCACCTCCTTGAGAGCCTTCCTCTATTTTGCTGCCGTCTACTTTGGAGAACAATATTTTCTAGAAAGTCAATGCCTGTCGAAAATACCAATTTGGTAAGCATATATGTAACATTTTTTCCAAGGGGGAGTATGAAATAAGGTCACCAGAATGATAACCACATGTTCTTGAGCAAATGGAATTATGGCAGCTGTTGTAGCTTTTCATTTTGTTCCTTTTTTTTAAATTGTAAATGTAAATTTAATAATTACTACAAAGTTTTTTAAAATTACATACAATCTAACATCATAATGCAATCTTGATAGCTAAGAATAAATCATGTGAAACCTGTAGCATTTTATTTTTTTAAAAAATGAACAGTTTCAGAACATCTAAATCTAATTTTTCCAAAAAACAGCACAAAGTACAGTGTAAAGCACCACCTCATTGAACACAAACTTTTGTTTTGTAATGCACTGCATCAGCGTTTTGCATACACCTTGTTGCAAAGGATTTTAAAATTGCATCCTATTTAAATAAAAAAACAAACAATACAAAACGTTGAGAACTGAAATCGCTATAATTCCAACAAAACAAAACTTGTGTATATATGCAACACATTAGCAGTCTTAATTGTACCAAAAGAAAATTGGGAGATCTGGCTGGCCCAGAGGATGTACATTGGTACAGATAGCAACTGGAAACACAGGGGATTCAGGACAGATGACTCCTTCAGGACCA